TGTCCTGGAGGTGCCCTTGAGACTTGTTTGTATGCATTTTCTTCGTTAGAGGCGTTTAGATGACACTCTGTGTGGACCACTTAAGGCTGCACGACTGAGACTCATTATAGTGATTTATTCCATCAACTCAGGAAAATGTTCACAGCGTCAGGGGCAGCCTATGCGGCAGAGCACGTCTTAAAAATCGCATCTTGAACGTTGGCCAATATTTTTTCCAAATATTGCCAGTTTAGTTTAGGTTTATCAGTAAGTTAGTATTGGGTAAAAAGACTTCTGCAAAGAATAAATAAGCCCTTTACTGTGGCAGACTAAGTGACTTGTTGTGACCTTAAGAAATCGCCGCTGTAGACAAGACATTTTATCTGTGTTCTTGCGCCCCCTAGTGACTGTTTATGGTCTCCTGTAAACATCTCTACAGCCGTCTCTTTCTGAAACTCGAGGTGACTGGCACGGCTCTTCACAGCCGCGTGTGGGGTGGTTGAACACGCCCTTCACAGCGGCGGGGCTGGGTGATGTCCAGTCAATACGAGCGATTAATCTTCAGCTGTCTCTGTGCCCCGAAGGACTTCGTCTTCTATGCCCCGCGGTTAAGAATAAACAAGCGCATCCTGGCCCTGTGCATGGGCAACCACGAGCTGTACATGAGGAGGAGGAAGCCAGACACCATCGAGGTGCAGCAGATGAAGGCGCAGGCCCGGGAGGAGAAGCACCAGAAGCAGCTGGAGAGGTACAGCACAGGGCAAACGCTGCTCCTCTCTCGGCCCGTGGTGGGGGTCCAGGGGTGCCGTGTCCGCAGGGTGCACGTGCAGGCTTCTCCACTCGCAGTTGGGTTTTCAAAAGTGATGAGCAAGCCAGCAAGAGGAGCAGTAATTGTGCAGTATTTGCCATTGCGTTAAGCAGTAATAGATGATTGTTGACGCCTGCCTGAACTAAGTGAACAATGAATGGTTAATCCCAATCTGAAAGGCAGGAAGAAGAAACGCAATGTTATTGTTGTTGAGTCTTCTTGAAGTGTGAGGGTGAGAGAAAGGTAGCAGGTTTTCACACCCATGAGCCCGTCCTCTCCCACTGGCCTTTATTCTGGCCTGCAAGATACCTGGAGCTGTTGTTTCATCACAAGTCAAGGAAACCTTGGAACTCGGCAAATAGTTGAGGTTTTTTTGATAACGGATTAAGATCTGCGGTTCTTTTGAATCTTTTTGTACTTCAGTTGGCGTAATGTGTTGTGAGCAATGGCATTGAACACCGGAGCATTCTGTAAGAAGGTCCGTCGTTCGGCAGCAGGGGGCAGTGTGGCACCAAGAAGTTCCAGTACAGTACAAGCTTTGAGCCTTGCAAGGGAGAGAGGGAGATGGACGTGCAGGTTAATTCCCCTGGGTGGATGCGGAATCGGTTGCCAACGGTGCGATATGAGTGAGGTCGGAGTAAGGGAGGGTAATATGGCTCTGTCCTCGCCGATGCCTGTCTTTCAGGGCGCAGCTAGAAAACGAGAAGAGGAAAAGAGAGCTGGCAGAGAAGGAGAAGGAGAGGATAGAGCGAGAGAAGGACGAGCTGATCGAGCGTCTCCGGCAGATTGAGGAGCAGACGCTGAAGGCGCAGAAAGGTGAGTGCCGCACTGGTGCCGTGTCCCCTCCACTGTGTCCAGCAGGTCGGCGGTGCCCGTGTCCCCCAGCCCTCAGTGGACACGACCCTGAGGCTGGGGCACGGACTCATCTTCACGGCTCTCTCATTGTGAAGAGCAGGACTCTGGGGAGACGGACCAGCGCCCTTTACACCGAGACTATGCCTAGAAAGGAGGGGGGTTGTTTTCCTTTCCAGCGCTGTACCCCAGTGTTATCCATTTGTACGAGTAGGGGTGTTGTCCTGGCTAGATTAGATCTTACACAGCCTGGCCTACCTAAAGGTCACCCTTAGTCCCGTTTGTGAAGCAACTTCCCAGTCCTCTGCCTGGTCTACTGTGCAGTGGGGCCTCAGGCACATAATGCCAGCTGCCCTCTTCCCAGGGGGATAACCCGGGCCCTTTCACCGAGAAGCGAAAGGCAGGGTGTGCCCAGCGCAGCTGTGCTCCCAGCAGGGCTCGAGAGAATCGGGAAGGGATCTGGTCGTCTTCAGCCACATTCCAGTGCTGTCCGTCGCCTTCACCACTGTAACCTGAATGTGGTTTGGTTACATGTGTCGGCTACATCATCCTGTACTCATGTTTCTCCAGTATCAAGGGGAGGAATGGTATCTTTCAGTGAGCTCCATTTAAATTACCCCCAGATTCCCTGCACTTGGGACATAGTTCCACATTAAATGTTTCAAAACAAAGAAAGGGAAATTTGCAGCTTATACACCAGTTTTCCTGCAGTTTTATTTCCTCTTGGCATATTGCTGTAAGGAAAAAATACATTTTTCTTCGATCAAAATGTTCTGTTTTAGGAGCGCCAGTCAGAAGTAACATTAAAGAGGTTAAAATACAAAGTTTCAAACAAATGTTTTTGCTTTGTTTTTCAAGCATCATTGCTTACAATCATAATGTCTGTGATTGTAGTCGTCCTTTATAGCTTAAAATGTTCATATAAACAATAGCTTTTTAAGAGAAGTATTAATTTCTTAACTGTGTGTACTGTACTGTTCATCTTCACTTTGCGAGAAATCTTATTGCCCTCTTCATTATTTGAATGTGAACTGTTTGCACTTGAGTCGTACTGCAGTCCTGGCTCATGGAGACTGTGAAGTATCTTCTCACAGGATTTCCAACAGCACTGAGCCGTGTGTGTCCCGAGACTGCGGACACTGAAGCTCTGTATGGGGAGCATTTCTATGTATGGTTCTGTCATTGCTATTGAACATCGGCAGTAGTGCTTTTCAGGCCTTCTGGCCAGCCCCAGGAATTAGTTAACCTGTCCGGCGCTGCTGTGGGACAGAAATGAACTGTGTTTCACACAAAATCTGCACTGGAAAGAGAGAGAGGTACAGTTAACAAGCAGGCAGAGAGACAGCAGGGATGTGTCTGTGCAGGTGTCTCCTTTTCCCCTATACATATATTTGCTTTCTAAAAACACCCGTTATAAGATTAATTTCAGTTGGACTCTTGTCTTCTCATTCTAAGAATTGACTGGCAACGGTCTAGCTGCAAATAATCGAGGGCGTGCTAATGAGGGTTTTCGCCATTCAAGTCAGCTGTGTCAATAGCCTGCCATGTTTGCGCACTTAAGGCAAGTCAGAGAGCTCTTGATTAGTCAGGCAGCTCAGTTTCTTCTTGCTGGGAATGCAGGTTTTAGCTTTTTTTTTTGTCCAAGTGGAACTCGCAGTATCCGTCCTGTGTAAAAACGAACGTGCTTCCTTGAAAGGCTTGTTTGGGTGAGACCACTTCTGCAAGAGCATCCTGGTGTTGTGACATGTATGAGCTGCTGTGCCAGTGTGTCTGGGGGATCCCTGGCGCAGTCCAGTCACGCCCAGTGGCTGATCTTTCCTGGGGCACTGCAGGGTTTGGAGGTAACAGAGATCGCAGATCGGATTTCTGTTTAATGTAATGGTCAAATAACAATTATAATTTTTTTTATTTTAACAGTAAAAAATAACTTTTTTTAGATTTTAAGCAGGAATTTACATTGCAAATTACAGGTGGGTATTCAGTGTATTGAGTGAGAATTTATTAAAGTGATGCAGGAGTATTTCTTTATGAAAATAAATATCAGTTTAAAGCATGCTCAGTGTGCCCCGGTAATCACACATTATGTATTAATCCCTGCATACATAACAGCTGATTAGAAAAACAGACGCTAGATTGATTTTTCCGGACAGACATTTTAGAATAACCAAACTTTTAGAAAACCAAACTTCAGGACGTGAATCGTTCAAACTAATTAGATCACTATTTTGTCTTTAATTATTAGTTACTAAACTAAAACCTTTTGCTTCTCTCAGGGCTGCACCTGTCACCAGGTAACCATGATTATAGTGGCACTAGAAGGATCTCTCAGTATATTTCCCTAGTGGACCCTCAAAGGTTTCTTGGCTGCCCCTGTACCACAGACCAAATCAATACTGTGAGAGACAGGCTCTAGAAAAGTAATGTCAGTGCCTTGTTCACACAATCCAATTTCCTCGTGTCCACTTTCATGTTGCGACCGATGTTTTCATGACTTCATTCAATTTCACGGGCTCACAGCTAAGTTGATGAGAAGTGGAGAGAGCACTGGCGGTGGTTTGGTCGTTTTCACACCTGCTTCACTAAATATTAAAGGCCTCCAAGGAGATTTCTGCATGCAAATAGTTTTCGGTTTACTTGCCTCATCATGGGTGCGTGTCTGTTAGTTGATTTTTGGCGTTGATTACTGTTAAACACGTCATGTGGATCTTTTGCTTGTTTTCTGGACACGTTTATCACAAGAAAATCAAATGCCAATCAGATGCGTAATTTGTAAAGGTTTTTAACATGTGACACAAGTCATGAGTGGTGCGTCGCCCCGATGGCTGGAAACAATCCCAGGGCTGTTTATATTGTAGAGCTGCTGTGAATATGACTAAACCAGCATGTGCCAGCTTCTCCTCACAGTGCTGATGAGTCCAAGAGCAAATTGGATCTTAGTAAAGGCAAAAGAAATCCACATGCCAAAGACTGAAAGCTGTTTTCATCAGTCTAATCACCCTAGCCCATTGACCTTTATCTCCGTTTGCAGGGCTGTTTTCAGAAAATGCTGATAATTTTTTTCAAATGCGGGAAAAATTGTTACCTGCAGGTCTGCAGCTGCTTTCTGTCAGTATTGACCCCCCAGAATTGACCCCTCCCCCCAAAAAAGACTTGTTGAATTGCTCACAGACTCTCCTGCTGTGCTGTGC